GATATTCCCCATCCTCTGAAGAGAAGTCTTTACCAGCTATTGTGCCACTTAAAATCAAGGGTAAGACATTTTGGGCGTATCTCGACACGGGCTCTGGGAGAAATTTCATCTCGAAGGAAGCAGTGCGACAATTAAGACTATCACCCCAGCGCCATGAGAGTAGAAACATCCTAACTGTAAACGGGTCCAAAAAGGCATCAATGCCAGTGTTTGAAGTAACAATCAATTCAGTTGATGGACGGGCAAGTGAGAATATTGAGATTACTGGTACAGAAATGCCAGATTTTACAACTGTGAAAAGACCGACTTTCATAGAGCTAAAGGAGAAATACGAGCATCTTCGCGAGAAAACATTCTACCGGTCAGAAAGCGAAGAGTATCCCATCCATGTCATATTGGGCGATGCTACCTATTGCAAAATACGGACTGATCAAGTCTACAAGGGAAAATCAGAGGATCCGATTGTAGAAGGAACGACCTTCTGTTTGACATTAACGGTCAAGTAGAACATTTAAGATTTACTCGTGTGCCTTTCGGCGTGGAAGCCAGCCCATTTATGCTTGGTGCCACCCTGCAACACCACTTCAATCTGCAGCCAGAAGAGTACCAAAACACCATTGAGTCGTTAAAAGAGAACACTTATGTTGATAATCTAATGAAGACCGGAAGTGATATTGCAGATCTTGAAGATTTCAAACGCGAAGCGACAGAAATCCTAGAAAACGCGAAGTTCCCAGTCCACAAGTGGGAGTCGAATGTCGAAGAACTTGACAACGAATCAAATCCCAGCAAAATACTCGGACATAAATGGAATAAGAGAGAAGATACACTTGAGATTCGAGCAGAACCTACAAAGGAAGAAACACCAGTGACAAAGAGACATATTCTTAAGGAACTCAGTAGCATATATGACCCTTTGGAAATAATATCGCCGACCATGGTTGAAGGGAAGCGCATCTATAGAGAAGCGTGTGATGAGAAAGTCGGCTGGAATTCAGAAGTATCTACCAGCACGTCCAAAGATTGGATAAAGTGGCGACAACAGTTAAGAAACGTGAAAATTCCGAGAACGAAGTCTAGCAAGGGAGATTCGAAAGGTGAAAGCTATACATTTGCATTTATTTGCTGATGCAAGTTTCACAGCGTGCTCGGCGGTCAGTATAGCAGTAATCGAACATTCCAGTGGAATAGTTAAAGGTCTTCTTACGTCAAAGTCCAGAATTGCCAAGAGAAACACTTCCATACCAAGGCTGGAATTAGTTAGCGGTCAGATGGCTGCCAATATGGCTAAGAATTTGGTTGCCGCATTGAGAAGATGGCCAATTGCATCAGTTACAGTGTGGATGGACAGCCTGGTTGCTTTGTTTTGGATTGCAAGCCCAGAAAGATCCTGGAAAGTCTTTGTATTAAATCTGACGCGGAAGATTGCTGAAATTACGGAAGAAGTAGGCATCAGTTGGAAGTACTGTCCATCCGAGGAAAATTTAGCTGACTTAGGGAGTCGGGGAGCTTCGATCGACAAAATGGAAAAGGACGGTTGGTTTAATGGTCCCGAGTGGCTAGTTAACCCAGACAAATGGCCAAAACAACCAAAGCTCGAGAGAACAAAGGCTGTCCTGAACGAGCAAAAGCAGATGACGGAAGTAGCTTTCAATACGCAAGAAAAAGGTCCGGACGAATGGGACTTGCTACTTTCTAGATCAAGCTACTGGAAGACTATTCGTGTTACTGCGTGGGCGTTAAGATTTGTAAGCAATGCAAGAGCCAGAAAACAGAAAACTAACCTAGCGAAAGGTCTGCTGACGACGAACGAGCTAGAACAGTCGAAAGTGCGATGGGTGAAGAAGGTCCAAGAAGACATGAGTTCGGAGCTACGAGCACCTGGATGGGAAGTCATACGAGAAGGTGATTCTGGTTTACTGAAATGTAAAGGTCGAATTCCCGGGTATCAGCCGATATACTTGGAAGGAGGAGACTTTACGGACAAATTGATTATGCATACACACAATGAGATACGTCATTTTGGTATCGCGAACACGATGGCCGCACTAAGAGAGAACTGGTGGATTCCGAGACTGCGCTCGAAAGTTAAAAGGATCATTAACGAATGCAACGTATGTAAAGTGTACCGAGTCAAACCATATGGTCGTACAGCAACTGCCGAACTACCTACGTTTCGAATCGAAAGCGGACGACCATTTGAAACAACGGGTGTTGATTTCGCGGGTCCCCTCACATATAAGCTTAACAAGAAAGAAGAAGGCAAGTGCTACATCTTGATATTTACATGTGCTACATCCAGAGCCGTGCATCTGGAGTTGACGAAGACACAATCGGCAGAGGAATTCAAGGTAAAGCTAAAAGCCTTCATCGCAAGAAAGAGCAGACCAAAGTTGATTGTGTCGGATAACGGAGGAGCGTTTAAAGCGACAGCGTTATGGATCAGAAAGATACGTAAAAGTGAACGACTGCAAGATTATTTGGCAAGACAAGAGATTCGGTGGAGATTCAATCTATCCAAGTCCCCTTGGTGGGGTGGAATGTACGAACGCTTACTTAAGGACATTAAAAAAGCCCTGTATAAAGTTCTGGGAAGATCGACATTATGTTTCGACCAGTTACAAGCTATCGTAATTGATATTGAGTAAAATGTAAACAATAGGCCACTGACGTACGTCGAAAGCGAGCAAGAAGAGGAACAAGTGCTCACACCAAATACAATTCTGTGGGGACAAAACGTGCATACCATAGACGAATCAGACACGGATGATGGAGAAGAAGTCGTGAAGTTACACAAACGAATGAAGCAGAAACGAGAACACGCGTGGCAAAAATGGAAGACGGAGTACGTACATAGTTTGATGGAACATCATCGAGTGATTAAAGGGGGGAAATGCGTGTCCAGAAATGGGAGAAATGATGTTGGTAGTCGGTGAGGAAAAGAATCGAGCTGAATGGAAACGGGGAAAAGTTGTTGAGCTAATCAAGGGCAAGGACAACGTTGTGCGAGGAGTAAAGATCTTGACGAAGGGACATACGATTGAAAGACCACTTTCTCTTGTTTGCTCTCTCGAACTCAAGGAAACAGAGATTGAAGAACCGAAGCCAAAGGAGACGAAGCCAAAAGAAACGGACGAAATCGGACAACGAAAGAGTAAGAGACAAGCAGCAAAGGACGCTAGGTGTAAAATACTGCAGTTGACACAAGAGGAAGAAGATTGAAGAATTGAACTCGGCATAACGTCGGACATTTGATTGCGAACATTAACTTTCTAGTTGATATTAAATATAAAATTAAGAAAAACATTTAATTTTAGAGGGGAGCGTGAACGAACATATTATAGATAGGGGTATTGGGTTACTGTGGGAAACAAGCCTGTTCGCGGGCGACCTGAGTATCGGGAAAAACAACGAACATGTGAGACTTTGTGAGCGAGAATTTTGTGTAAAAAGTGGGAGTTTTTATAGTTTATTAAACTTTACTAAAACATAATACGAGAGTTTTAGTGTGCCGACACAAGTTCGGCACATCAATGGCTTCACTTGAGTTGAGTGTTAATGGCTTCACTCGAGTCGAGTCCGAGTCAACGGTTAATGGCTTTACTCGAGTCGAATCAATGGCTGCGCGATTTGTATGGTGAACAAAAAGGTGAACAAGAATGCTTTAAAAAATTATCTACAAATGGAAACATGCCTGTCTGCGTCGAGAATTACTTTTTATTTCTTCAGGACTCTTCTCAACCTATTCAACTACAATATTTTTGATGAATTTATAGTATTTATTCGAACAAGTTGTAGCTGAGTTGATTTACGGCAAAATTCGAGTCATTTGCGGCTGTTGATTCGACTCGAATCAGTTTTCGTATTCGACTCGAGTCGACTCTAGTCCGAGTTAATGACTCGACTCGTTACAATAAAACACCGCGGAAAAACGTCTGCGCATGCGTGGGGAATTTAAATGCCAAATTGTAAACAAAAACATGGTTATTTAATTAATATTTAAAGTAAGTGAAACAAACAAAAAAAGTACGCTAGACAGGTAGTTAATGACTGTCACATTCATTATTTCGTTTGCATTTTCACAGAAAAGTTTCCAGTTTTTGACTGACCTTCGGAATACTTGACACCACGTTCGCATAGCCTTCGCAGCCTGAAATTTAGAAGGGGGAATTTTCCCCTTCTAAATTTCAGGCTGCGAGTAGGCTACGTTCGCAAGGCAAATTGCAGTAACGTTGACGCATGCGCAACGTTTTTCCGCGATGTTGTACAAGGAAGAAGTTACTCCGCTGACCTCAGAATGACATTTCGTCAAAACATTTTTCTTCAAGATTGGTTTAGAAACAAATTTGGAGTAGGGTTAGGATTAGGGTTAGATTTGGTATTTGGAATAGGGTTAGTGTTAGTAAAAAGGAAATTTAATATCAAGTCAATCAATGATCCAAATTAGATACAAAAGTTATAACATCTCGTATAATCACTGTAGTCAGTGCAGGAGAAATGTTTCTTTGTTTCCTTGTGAATAATTCATCCTACTCAGGTGGTTGCTCAGACAGTGACGGAATATGGGGCTTCTAAGAATAATATTTTTGAGTTTGAGCAAGAGAACGGTTTACAAAGACGAAGACGTACTTGACAATGCCTCCTCTAGTGTTATTTATAATCTCTATGGTCGGCGCATTATGGCGTGCGCATACTGAGTTTGTGGTCAGCGGTGGTTGTTCAACGAAGACAGGTTATAGATTCATGCCTAAAATTTTTAGAACCACTGAGTATTTTAACAAAATACAAAACAAGTGTAACTCCAAAGATCGATAACATTTTATATTCATCAACGTTTCGACTATATTTCAGTCATCCCTAATCCTTACCTTGACAAAACAGGGAGACATGAATACATATGCCGTCTTCGTTCTTCTGCCTTATTTTGGCAAAATTTGTCGTGAACTTCGTTGTAGTCTGAATGAAGGCAGATGGACAAAAAGGGGATATAGTTTCATGTCAGTATTCATGCAATTATGGTCAGTATTCATAAACCGCAGCGAGACATGAATCAACAACGGAAAATCACGTTGAGCAACCCACAGTGACCCCAAACTTGGTATGTGAAAGATAATGCGCAAACGAGCAAGAATTGCTCTTGCTCAATTTCTCCACCTCAGCCTTTTGCTCAGGCCTCTTTACCAGAAAACAGTTTCACGAAATAAAATAAACAATGTTAAGGGACGAATCGTTCCATAAAAGCCGGTACTAAAGTTTTGTAACCTCTGTATACTTATCAGGATCATTCATTATTTAGTACTTGGCCCACGCAAAACAATGGTTTAATTTTTTCCCACCTCCTGTCATTCGACACTAATTCATAATCCAGTTTTACTTATTCTAACTGGAACTATAAAACAATCTGCGCAAAAACCTGCATATATATAAAATGTCCTTGTACTTTTTAATTTCACTTTTCCTATAAAGTTGCATTGAATATATTGCGAGACATGTGAGTATGAACTCTCGATATTATTTAAAATTCAGTATGGCGCCCTTTCCTTATTCATCATTATGATGGCCCACCTCCAAAAATAATTTTTTAATAAAACTCTGACCTACCGCCAATTCAACCTCGTCCACTCCTTCAAACGGTCCCTGACGGGACCGGCTAAACGGAGAGTTATGAAGTGGAGAGTTATCTTGGAGAGTTATGATTTCGGAGAGTTATGTTCGAACCACGCCCAAACCACGCCCAGTTTTCCCAACGACCACACCCAATTTCTTAACTCTCCCGATGTTTCCTTGAACTAACATGAGAGAGTTATGTTTGACGTAACTCTTTCTCGTTAACATTCATGAAGATGTTAGAGAGTTATCATTTTTTATAACTCACCACGTTCACGATTGTGGCAATGCCAATGAACAGAGTTATGTCCGTCAGTTTGTTGAAAAAAATTTCCACATTTTAGTAAATTATTGTGAATTTACTTTTTTCTCAAGTTTCAGCTTTAACATTCCACGCTAGTAGAAACTAGTAGACAGTAGTAGTACTTTAGTACTTACCAAGTGAAGCGAGTACGAGTAAATAAATTATAATACATGCTCACTTGGATTATCTACAAAGCCCAGCATTCAGGTACAGCTCTCGTATTAGATAGAACCAGAAAACCTTTCCAATGTAATGCCCTATTGGCTGATCTGGGAAAGTGTTTCCAAAACCTGAATTTCTGAAAGATTCAATTTTCGCAATTTTTTCAATTTTCTTGCAACTATGCTTTCCGTATTTACTGCCAAATACACGTCAAAGCATGCTTCTGGGGGTACTTTGACCCTTCTGATGCAAGCATCTCATTGTTTTGACCGAGTCAAGTTGTACTATTTCCTGTTTGGACGCACGCTATTGACACGCTATAAACTAAAATACCAAAATATAAGATGAAAATCTGAAGAAACAAGCTTTACTAAGGTTTTCTCAAAAAAACTGACATAACTCTCTTCATTGTCACAATCGTGAACGTGGAGAGTTATAAAAAATGATAACTCTCTAACATCTTCATAATGTTAACGAGAGAGAGTTACGTCAAACATAACTCTCTCATGTTAGTTCAAGGAAACGTCGGGAGAGTTACAAAATCGGGTGTGGTCATTAGGAAAAGTGGGCGTGGTTTGGGCGTGGTTCGAACATAACTCTCCGAAATCATAACTCTCCGAGATAACTCTCCGGTTGGTAACTCTCCCTTTAGTCATACCCGTCCCTGACTGTCTAATGCTGTCCGGCAATCATTGTCAGTAAAAGTTTGTTTACCCAAAGTTAACCGAGATCTCTGGGTTTTTAAGAAAAGGCACAAAACATATACTGATAATTTGATTTATTTACTTTAAAAGTATATAAATATTACATTGAAAGTAAATATAGTGATATTTAATATATTTACTTTAAAATCGAAGCATTAAGAATTAGGAGTATGGCTTTTTTTCAGACCAAATCGACAGTATACAAACTGAAACGTGCATTGAAGATAGCTTTCCCCCAGTCCTCTTATGCTGTTTCATTAAAGGTGCTCTACAGCCCGATCTGCGCATGTGCACAAAGGAGCCCACATTTTATGATACAAACAGTTTAACTATGTTTTGGGTTCTTGAAAAGCCTGATTGTTGTTTCTTGATAACTTATTATACTGTCGAATAAAACTCAATATTTTGGACACAAAAATGGAAACAAAGGCTTTGTTTACATACGGACTGTAGAGCACCTTTAAGGGAAGCCCATAGAAATATTAGACCTAGAATGCGTTCTTGGTCACGTGACTGGTATCCAAATTGAAAACAAAAATGCCCTTATAAACCCGCCATGTTGAATTTGAGCAGGAGTGCAAACTACAAAGTATAAACAAAGCTAAAACTAAGTTTTCATCATCAAAACGTTTTGTCTTGCTGTCTAATTTGTAGCTTGGGGATATATTTTGAAATATTAAGTTCTTTAAAGGCTAGCTCGAAGCAAATGTGCAGTTAAGCCCTGGGCAAACTAGGAAACATTGTTGCGGAAACATTGTTTCCTGCCAATGTTTCGCCATGCTTCCCAGAGTGGGCAAACACTAGGAAACATTAGTGAGAAACATAGGGAAACATCAAATGTTTCTGAATTGATGGGAAACATTTTTGCTTCTCGGGAAGCAAATTTTGTTTCCGCAACAATGTTTCCACGAGTGGGCAAACAGGGAAACATTTGTGGAAACATCAAAGATTATTAAACTCCATTTATATTATAAAACATATGAAATATTTTTAGAACATACCATAGTATTGAGTTTGAGTTTGTCTTGATCTTTCGTGTTTTGTTTTCGCTTGCACAACAACGATTT